AACATTAATAATAATAATATTTCTTTTAGTTATATAATGTCACCTCTACTGACCGTAAAGGTTCCTGAAAAAGCCTTGAAAAGGCCCACTGACCACCAGTTGATAATCACAGTTGYAGCTCGGACACATTTTATTAGTGAGACGAGGAGCAGAAACGGCTCTTTTCATGGTAAAGGTTGCCGAACCCAAATTTCAACAACTGTACAGAGATCTCTTCAAAACATGTTTTAAATCATCTTCAGCAGATTGTGTTTCTGTTTTGTGTGTTTTTAAATGTTTATCAGTCGTTCCTTCAGGCTTTCTGAAGGTCTTTAGGTTTCTGTAAGGCTTGAAAAGATTACAGTCTGAGTTTTGGCAGCACTTGATCAATAAATGAGCAGATTAAAGCCGGGTCACTCGACACGTGTGAGACGGGAACACAAATTTCTGACTGAACCGGACTAAAACCTCTGCAGGCAGATTCTGCCTCTGTTCTGATGAGTCCCATCCATCATGGTGTCCCTCCTCCAGCACCGGGCGGAGCGCCGTGTGGCCAAACGTTCTGCTGAGTCACTGAACTGACCCGGTTATGTCACTGGATCCTAACACAATAAAACTTTGTCAGGAAGCTCTAATCTGTGGCCGTTTGGTGATAATCTGCTCAGACACACATCCAAACATCTGGAAACATCTGCCAACACCAGGATAAAATCTACTTGAATCCGCTTCAAACCCAGAACGAATCATCTGTGATGTCAGACGTAATTCACATAATCTAATCTAATCTAATCTAATCTGATCCATCAGGGAGAATATTTTGTTGTGTTTTATCAAATGTTCTCCATGATTTCTAAAAGTATTTATTTATTTTCTTTGGACTTTTTCTGTTCGGTTCTGTTTCTTTCGGTTCTTAATAAAACTAACAAAGGAAGTCTAAAGGATCTAATGAACCAAAACAAGAAGATAAAACATATTAAGGTTAARAATAAACCGTCTGAATCAAGCTCGTTGGACTTCAAGAATCAAGTAAAATCCCAGCAAATAGACGGAGCCGAGGCCACGTGAAGCTCACAGACCTGGAAGTGAAGGATGATGGTCCAGATGAGTCCTAACGTCAGTTTAGGGTTTCCATCAGTGATGTCATCGTTCCTGATGTTCACAAGCTTCACCTACAAAAATAAAAAAATTACAAATTTTAAGTTTAAGCTGTAGTTTAACAATTAGCTTTTAGCTAGCCAACAACTCTGCGCTCTGATTGGACACATTTAAAGTGAAACTCTGCGTTCTGATTGGACACCTGTCTCTGCTTCAGGAAGTCCAGGGCGATCTGGACGTTCTGCAGTCGATGAAATCTCATTCGGCCTTTTTCTCTGGGCTGCAACAGAATCAGAGGAGAGAAGAAAATGAGACGAGTTCAGGTGCTTTTCAATCACAGTGCAGAGGGGTCAAAGGTCAAATTAATCCACTGTCTGAAGGGTTCAACTGCAGCCGAGCAACAAACTGTGGAGCAAACCGTGCTGTTAGCAGAAAAACTGATTTAATATTTRTCAGGTTTTCACCACAGATTCATGGTTTCATCAAAAGAATTAAAGTAAAAAAATCAAACCAAAACAGAGATAATTATTATATAAATGTGTTAAATGAGTGCAGAGTGTAGAGTCACACAAACACATTAGGTTTACAGAAGAGATGTTTACAACATGTTGCTTTGTGTAAACATGTTTAACAAGCGTTTTTTAAAAACTGAGCCTCAAAATTAAACTAAAGCTRATCAGAATAAATCTTTTATTACAGATGTAAGATTCTCAGGTTTTAAYTTGTCTTCTCTTTTTAGAATCAAAGCAAAATATCAAAATCTTAAATAAAAAAGTCTGATTCATTTTAAATCACATATTTAACAGTTGTCATGCAAAACATCAGAAGAGTGGAAACAGATCAGTGAGCAGCTGAAGACTCATCTGTTTCAGTCAGTTTGGTTTGNAAAAATATGTTCTATATAAACACTCCTTGGAAATGAGTGAAATCAGCAGACTGTAGCTGCACAGCTCAGCCCTCTGCTCATCTCTGACCTACATTCCYGCCCAGCGGTTTGTTCGGCGCTGCCAGCCGGTACCGGGTCACTCTGACCACRGTTGCTCACCAGTTCTGGGGTCAGACGGACACTCCCTCACTGGGTCATGTGACTAAAATACCCATCATTCCCCTGTCTGAGCGTGCGACACGTGCAGCTGAAGGCAGCAGGAATGTGTGAACTGATGAGACGAGCAAAAGAAAATCAGTGTTTTTCTTTAAAAACTGTCAGCATTTCGGCTGTTTTCCTGTTTCTTTTATTCCACATCTGTRTATTTTGGGCTAGTTTTGCCGTTCATGTATCAAAACGTTCGGTTCGTTTGGGAACTGATCTTTTCTAAATATTTACCTTGTTATAAATGCATCTCTTCAATTCATTCGCTTTAAAACCAGAGTCTTATTTTTGCATCATGTAGCTTTTAGCTGCAGTCGGCTCATTTTAGCTCTTCCTGTTTTGCTGCTGACAGATTTGTTCATGTTTACTTTTTAATAACAATGAGGATATTTTAAAGTAAAACTTGAAAACGTATCTCAGCAGATATGAACATTACTAACCCTCGCAGCAGAACTTTTCATGTTTACACACAAACATTGAGTTATTTGTTCTGTTTGGGTCAGAACAGGTTAAAATTCCAGGGTATCTGCAGGTTTTAGCAAGTCAAATTTAAGACTTTTTAAGGCCTTTTTAGTACCACCTTGAATGAAATTTAAGACCGAAAATATAAGCGATGGTTCTGCAGAGACGGCCGGGGGGGACGGAGAACTTTAATCACTTCTGCCCGACAAAATTTAAGACCTTTGTGTAACAAATTTAAGACCAACTTGCACATTTTTAAACAAATTTAAGACCTATTAAGGTCTTAATTTTTTATTTGTGAATTTAAGACTTTCTAAGACTTTCTAAGACTTTTTAAGACTTTCCTAAGACTTTTTAAGACTTTCTAAGACTAAGACTTTCTAAGACTAAGACTTTCTAAGACTTTTTAAGACTTTGTAAGACTTTCTAAGACTAAGACTTTCCTAAGACTTTTTAAGACTTTCTAAGACTAAGACTTTTTAAGACTTTTTAAGACTTTCTAAGACTAAGACTTTCTAAGACTAAGACTTTCTAAGACTAAGACTTTCTAAGACTTTTTAAGACTTTTTAAGACTTTTTAAGACTAAGACTTTCCTTAGACTTTAAGACTTTCTAAGACTAAGACTTTTTAAGACTTTCTAAGACTTTCTAAGACTAAGACTTTCTAAGACTAAGACTTTCTAAGACTAAGACTTTCTAAGACTTTTTAAGACTTTTTAAGACTAAGACTTTCCTTAGACTTTAAGACTTTCTAAGACTAAGACTTTCTAAGACTTTTTGACTTTCTAAGTCTAAGACTTTCTAAGACTAAGACTTTCTAAGACTTTTTAAGACTTTCTAAGACTAAGACTTTCTAAGACTAAGACTTTCTAAGACTTTCTAAGACTTTTTAAGACTTTTTAAGACTTTTTAAGACTAAGACTTTCCTTAGACTTTTTAAGACTTTCTAAGTCTAAGACTTTCTAAGTCTAAGACTTCCCTAAGACTTTTTAAGACTTTCTAAGACTTTCTAAGACTTTCTAAGACTTTTTAAGACTTTTTAAGACTTTCTAAGACTTTTTAAGACTTTCTAAGACTTTCTAAGACTTTCTAAGACTTTTTAAGACTTTTTAAGACTTTCTAAGACTTTTTAAGACTTTCTAAGACTTTCTAAGACTTTCTAAGACTTTCTAAGACTTTCTAAGACTTTCTAAGACTTTCTAAGA